TTGCAAGTCTGGCTAGACCAGAGGATGTACACTGGTACAGATAGGAACTGCAAACCCAGGGAATCCAGGGCAGATGAGCCCTTTGGGACCAGTGGTGTGAGTGGCGATACTGGGAGGGTAAAGGGAGAGTGGGTTGGAAAGAGGGAACGGATTACAAGGATCTATATGTGACCTCCTCCCTGGGGGACGAACAACAGAAAAGTGGGTGAAGGAAGACATCAGACAGGGCAAGAAGTGGCAAAATAATGATTTATAAATGATCAAGGGCTCATGAGAGAGGGGGGAGGGGGGAGGGAAGGGACCTGATGAGGACCTGATGCCGGGGGCTTAAGTGTAGAGCAAATGTTTTGAGAATGATGAGGGCAATGAATGTACAAATGCGCTTTACACAATTGATGTATGTATGGATTGTGATAAGAGTTGTATGAGCCCCTAATAAACTGATTAAATAAATTTTTTTAAACTAAAGTCAATAATCATCTATTTCTAGGCATATATTTATGATATGATTGTTCAAAATAATATTACAGAGCAAATTATATTCTTGATAGGAATTGTGAAAAAATGCATTTGGTAGTTCCTGTATAAAATTTATGCAGCTCAATTTTTATACCGTAAGATATTTTATAAAATATGTAGGAAGAAGTCACTGGTGCAGATTAATAAACATTGCCCAAATGATCAAAATGTTTCAATCCACCAATACTTCAAAATATCTAACAAAAATCACCTCATTTTACATGTCTCAAGTTTCTCCTCTGAAATGGAATTTCCTTATTAAAATTACATGGGGTAGAACATTAATTTTCCATAATGTGTAACCATAGGATTAGAAGATGAAGTTTAATGAGAGATATGTATCTTCACTATTATCAAACTTTCTTTTTTTTTTTTTCAAACTTTCTAAGACTCTTGGAATAGTGGAACAGTTTATAAAGACAGTCTACCCAAGTGATCTAAGACTTGTTCTTACCTCAACTATTCTTTGGGATTTTTGTTAAATGTAACTAATTATCTACTTCAATTCAGTGTTAAAATATGTCTTGCTGCAGATGTCTTTGTATTTGTTAAATCGTTTTATTAGGGGCTCATACAACTCTTATCACAATCCATACATACATCAATTGTGTAAAGTATATTTGTACTTTCACTGCCCTCATCATTCTCAAAACATTTGCTTTTCACCTAAGCCCCTGGCATCAGCTCCTCATTTTCCCCCTCCCTTCCCGTTCCCGACTCCCTCATGAACTCTTGATAATTTATAAATTATTATTTTGTCATATCTTGCCCTGTCCGATGTCTCCCTTCACCCCATCCTCTACTCCATGTTCTACCAATGGTGATGAAGGCTCCACATTTGGGATAAGTAGAGTATAAGAAGGAAAAATCTACAGTGAAGCTGATGGATCCAGCACCATTGCTCCAAACAGCGAACAATGTTCTGTGTGTTTAACAGTTCCTAAAATAACGAATGCAAAAGTTCCTGAATTAAAGTTGCTAACTTGCTTATGGTTTAAAATAAATGAAGAACTATTCAATCGGGCAGTAAACTCTCAAATAAAATTCTAAGCACTAATTAATCTTAAGTATTTTATTCCAAATTCAGACACCAGCGTTGTCAAATTTTAACACTGTAGTCACTTTTAAATTATAAAAATTTGTGTAGAGAAATTATACCTAAGCCATAAAACTCTACTCTTCAACAAATGTTATATTTTAAATATGTGGCTTCTTCATATAACCCTAGTGGTCACTAGACATATCTGAATATCCATAAAAATAAACTAAGCCCTAGACTTGAAAGTATGACATTCCTGGGCTAGTTTATATCGGTGATGTAACATCTATTCAGAATATAGACTCTTTAGTAATTGGATTGTCTCAAATAATATTATTTTTGACAGCTGTCTAAAAGAGCTAGCCACTTTAATAAAAGATATATGCATCACAGGGTCATTTCACTTAAAATAAGACAAAATACTTGTATTATCTAAATCTAGACTGTGTGGGAACCACCTAGCAGGGAGTCAAGGGGAAGGTATCTAACACTAATTCCTTCAGCCATGGCTGCATGGAAGAGAACTCAAGCCTTCAAAGGCTACCGTGGCTTAGGACCACTGGAGGGAAGAGCGATGCAATGTGTACACTGTGAACTAAGAGAACAAGACACAGCAGAGAGTGGAGATTAACAGGATTTCAGCAGACAGTGATCAGAGGTTACAATTCAGAAAAGTATTTGATAATCTCTACCGTAAGAAAAGTATTTGATAATCTCTTACAGTATAAGATAATCTCTACAATTCAGAAAAGTATTTGATAATCTCTAAGTAAAGGAGCACTGGTGGCCCTGTGGGCTCGGCGTTGGGCTACTTATGACAAAGTTGGTGGGTCAAAGTCCCCAGGTACTCTGGGGAGAGAGACGAGATTGCCTCCTCCCATAAAGATGTATAGTCCTGGAAACCCCGTAGAGGGTTGCTATGAATTGGAATCAATTTGATGGCAGTGAGTTTTGCTTGGTCTATAGTTAAAATGAAAATAGAAAAAAATTGTTATGAAGAAAATAGTGCTTAGGAGAGATTGAAGCAATACTGTACACTTAATTCCCTCGTTACATTTTATTTCAGAGCATTGTGGGCTCTGAAAATTACCTTGGAGGCTTCAAGCAGCCCAATGGGTCACCAGTTTGACACCCTGGTTTATAGTGAGGAGGAAAGGGAACATTAAGAAATCTACAAATAGGAGTTTCCTTCCTTTATAAGTTTAATTTCAAGACAGTGAGCCAAGTTTTAAAAAGTTGCTAACAAATCTATTGTAGCCATGCAAAACCTTCAGAGAATGTGCTCTAAATATTTCAGATTTGAAAATGATGTCAGTGACTTCCAAGGCAATTGTGACTCTTGGTGACAATCACATGTACCATGTAATATAGAATGCACTGCAGCAGGACCTGTAGCTATCCTACATAATCAAACACATTATTTCTTGATTAAAACATATGATTATTCATATAAATTAAGTAAAGATACTGACTAGTTTTTACTAGTTCAAAATAGGTTTTGTCAACAAAAGTTACCCCAAACAAAACAAAATACAAAAAATAATATCATCTGTAGCCTTTCAATCTTTAAAACATGGAAGACATTAATTTGAAGACTTCATGTCTAAAATCAGAACAATAAAATTAGCATAGATATGTACTTAGAAAGTTACATCATAGAGTTTATTATATTTAACTTGAAATATTAACAAATTTCTAAAAATATGGAAAAATAATACATGTATTGGGAAATTTTGGCCAGGCGAACAAAGGCCAGAGTTTATGCTGTGGTTGAAAAAGGCGTGGGATAAGGCCAACTGTGCAAGCATGAAGACAGGCAGAGAATGGCACAGAAGATGAAGGGACCTGGGTCACGCCTGACATGACAATGTTGGCTCATCGTGACCCCCGGCGGGTTTCTGAGACAGTAACTGTACAGGGGAATAGAAAGCCTAGTCTTGCTCCCAAGGAGCTCCCGGTGGTTTCGAACTACCTGCCCTGTGGCTCGCAGCCCAATGTGTAACCACTGCATCACCAGGGCTCCGCATGGTTATCTGTGAAGCTATAAGAGGACGAAGAGAGAAGAGCATGAACTAACTCTTGTCATTTAAAAAACAAACAAACAAACAAACAAACACAAGTGAAGGTAGAAGGCAAACAGGAAAACCGCCCTCTTCTCTGTTTACCAGTGTCCTAAATAAATATAATTCATCTTTATGGATTGACACATAGACCAGATAGAATCTCAAGTAACTATTCATTGTCATTCGTTGAAATAAAAATTGCAAAACCAGTTGCCTTCTAGTCTGTTCCAACTCAAGATCAGGCCAACTCTGTCAGAGCACTTTGCTCCTTAGAGTTTTAAACTGCTAATTTTTCAGAAGTAGATCAATAGGGTTTTGTTTTTTCTAAGATGAGTCCTAAACCATTATCCTGGCCCAAGGACTTCACTGAAGGTAAAGAAAGGGGAAAGAAAGGCAAGTAAGTAGAAAGTTAGGACTTTTTTTGTAATTATTAAGACCTGAAGTACTTAAGGGGGGGATCTTAAAGAGTTAAAAACTAAAGAATACAAGTTTGACAAAAGATATGAATGATAGATAAACCTGTTCAAAAGACCAGACTGATGTAGCTGTTTGTTTTCTTTTCTTTTTGCAGAAACGAGGATAGCAAGAAGATGTTCATTATAAAACTGTTTGAAAGAAGTCAGCTAAGGACAAAAAGTGAAAAATTCATATTAAGATGAAAAATAAATCAACACACACTTTATATGTTGCATCCATTGTCTAGCATTGGTTCCAATTACATTCTCTTCAGAGAGGTCAAAACCAGAGTCTACACAGACAGTTTCTCCATTCACAAGCCTATCCCTACAGATCCAGTTACATGATGCAATTAAATTAAACATGAATAGTTATATTTACACAGAGTAACCTTAACTAGAAGGTCAGCAAAAAACGAAGAGCCTTCACCAGATGGATTGACACACCAACTGCCACGATGGGCTTACAAGTGAACAATTCTGCAGGAGGCACAAGACTGGGCCATGCTGCCTTGTGTTGTACATGAAGTGTCTGTACAGCGAAGTTCTCCTGAAGTGCCAAGGTCGACTCAGTGGTACCAAGCAGCAAAAATCACAACCTGAACACATACTGGATAAGCCTTTGAAACATGTAACAGAGGTCACTTTGTCTCTATAGGCACTGTGAAATATTAAAAATCACTGGTGAGATTAACATTTCTTCTTTGTTAATATGGTTCTAAAATGGTATATAAAGGGCATGCATTATTTTATCACAGTATTGACGAACGTTTCTAAAGAATGCCATTTCACTAAAACAAGTAAGAACTCTAATTCAAGGAATAACCGTCGTTTTACTTAAGAGCTTTAACAACTGAAACTAGATGTGCAACTGTAGACGAGCAGAAGAAGAAATCTGTAGCAGCCTCTAGGCCATTTACTTACAGTAGACATCCACTCTGATGGACTTTATCGCTGGGGACCCCAAGCCATTCTCTGCTTTACAGTAATACCGGCCTCCTTGGTGTCGCTGAATATTTGTGATCCTCAGAGTCTCGTTGAAGACACTCGAGTCTTGGAATCTGTCAGAGGCACTTCCTGCTGTTTTGGTCCACCTGATCTGAGCAAGCATCAACAAAGATTGTTACTTTAGGTTGGTTTCCCCACAGAAACAGAATCAAAGGGAAAAATCAATTATGCTTTTGAAGGGCTTGCTTTTAGAGATGCAGATATTTCCTTTCTAGTAAAATCATTAAAAATCAAACAAAAACTGTGTTTACACACACAAATTAACATAACTATTTTCTAGTGTAGGTGACTTAATTACATAGAATTCATCGATAGCTTAAACATATAAAGGACAACACAACATAAAAGGAGTTAGATATGGGAAGTGTAAGAGAAAAAAATACAGATTTTCTTTCTGTTGAGCAATTAAGGTTTTAGATTTCCAAAGTCTTTAAGAGACTTTTCTTTTCGGACATGGTTTATTATTTTATTTTAAAAGTCCCATCTGATTGGAATGTGCACACATATTACCATAATGACTTATTGAGATCATAGGTAATTTCATACACCTGGTTGTTAAAAGAGGCTTTTAAAATGTATTCGAAAAAACCCCACAAATGACTGACTATTTTGATAATTAGAATTTACTTTACATCAATAATTATTTTCAAACAGTGTGTAAACTTTTCAAAGACAACATTTCTATTAAACTGCCAAAATGCTTTGAATATCTAAAACATTCCATTATAAACAATACCATTCTCTTAAACACAGCTGTGCAAAACAGACTTCATTTTTGCTGGCAATAAAAACTGCCATTCAACTCAAATTTTGTATATTTTAGTTTTTAAAATCTGAATAAAAACTACATGATGTTGCTATAAAGTGGTACAAAATAAGAAGAAAATTGGTTTTGGTTTTATTTCCCTGCCTTTCCTGCTACACAGTATATTTTATTTACTTGGTTTTTATTTGTTTGTTTTAAATTCAAGAATGGGTAATAGAAATACTCTGTTTAAATTCATATGTAATATATATGAGATTAAACATTGAAATTCAAAATTGAAATCTTGTAATACAGTTATTCAATATTTGTGAGACAAAGTTTTTAAATACAAACTGAAACCAAAGATCAATATTCTAGGAATTCATAAGATGAAATGGACTGGCATTGCCATTTTGAATGAGAAAAATCATATGTGTTATTATGCAAGAATAACAGACTCAGGAGGATGGCATGGCATTCATTATGTAAAATAACATTTTGAGTTCTATCTTGAAGTACAATGCAGTATGTCATTGGATAATATCTATCAGCATAGAAGGAATCCATTAAATACAACTATTATTCAAATGTACATACCAACTACAAAAACCAGTGTTACAGAAATTGAAGAATTCTAGCAACATCTTCAGTATGGAATTAATTAAACATAATGATTATGCACTGATCATCATTGGAAACTGGAAAATAAAAGTTGGAAATAAAGTGGAAGGAAAAGTAATTTGAAAATATTATCTCGGTGAATAGAAATGAAGTTCAGGAAAGAATTTTGCACAACTAAATACTTCTTCAATGAACATAACTTTTATTAACAAAATAAAAGGTGACTGAAAATGTAGACTTCTCCGGATGGAATACACAGAAACCAAATGAATTACATCTATGGGAAGAAACATGGAAAAGCTCAATATCAGCAGTTAAAACTAAGCAAGGACAGACCGTGAAGTAGACAAGCAATTGCTCTTATGTAAGATCAGGTTGAAGTTTAAAAAAATTAATAAAGAAGTCTATAAGAACCAAAATATGACCTTGATCTCTCCTACCTCAATTTCAAGAACAAATTTGACACATTGAACACCAACAACAGAAGACCCGATGAGCTGTGGATGACATCATGACTCATGCATGAAGAAAGCAAAAGGTCATTAAAAAGACAGGGGGGAAAACGAAAAGATCAAAGTAGATGTTAGAAGAGACTGAAAGTTGCTCTTACCTAGAATCTGTCTCTCTTTTTCTCACTCTCTCTCACTGCCATCTACTCTGATGCCCACTCACAGCAACCCCACAGGACAGAGTAGAACTGCACCTGTGAGTCTCAAAGGCTTAACTCATTATGGGAGTAGAAAACCCAGTCTTTTCCCCCAGAAGCAGCTTGTGGTTTCAAACTGCTTATCATTCAGATCACATCCCAATGCATAACCACTAAGCAACCAGGGCAAATGGGAAGGAAAAAAAAAAAGATGAAGTAAAAGAGCTAAACAAATTATTTCAAAGGGCAGGTAAGAAAGACAAAGTATTAAAAAGAAAACACTCTCAGTATATCTTAAACTGAAAAAGTCAAGCCTTGAATTGAAATGCTGAATGTTCTGGGCAAAACACTGAATGGTACAGAAGACATTAAAATAAGTTGGAAAGAATACACAGAATCACTGTACCCAAAAAGAACTAGTCGACATTCAAACAGTGCAAGAGATAACCTATGAGCCAGAACCAATGGTACTAACAAAACAATGTCAGCTTGCACTAAAAGCATTAGCCAAAAAAAAAAAAGCTCCAGGAATGGATGGAAGACCAACTGAGATGTGTCAACAAGCTGATACATTAGAATAACTCACTTTCCAGGAAATTTGGAAGACAGCTACTTGGCCAACTGACTGGATGAGATCCATGTCTGTACCCATTCCAAAGATAGCTGACCCAACAGAATGCTCAAAGTATAGGAATTCTACATGGAAAAAGAAGCAGTTGTGTGTGACAGGGGTGTGGGGTGGTGATGGTGGGAAGGAACATGAATGGTTTAAAATCAGGAAGGGTCTGTGTTAAGGTTTTATGCTCTCACTATGCTGAACAAATTATTAGAGAAACTGGATTATATGAAGAAAAATGCTGCATCGGCATGTGAGGAAGACTTATTAACGACCTGGAATATACAGATGACACAATCTTGCTTGCTGAAAGTGAGGAAGACTAGAAGCACTTGTTGATGAAAACCAAGGATCATTGCTTTCAGCATGGATTACAAGCCAATGTAAACAAAATCAAAATCTTCACAATTGAACCAATAGAAAACATCATGATAAACTCAAAAAGAATGGTGTTATTGTGGATTTTGTCTTGCTTGGATCCACGATCAATGCTCATGAAAGCAGCAGTAGAAGATCAAAGAATGCATTGCATGGGGTAAATGTGCTGCAGCGGACTTCTTCAATGCTTTGAAGGGTAGAGAGGCTATTTTGAGTGCTAAGGTGTACCTCACTGAAGCAAGGTATATTCAATCGCTTCATATACATGTAAATGTTGGATATTGAATAAGGAAGGCCCTAGAATAATGGATGCATTTGAATCATGGTGCTGGCAAAGAATATTGAAAGCACTGTGGACTGACAAAAGAAAAAACAAATATGTCTTGGAAGAAGTATGGACAGAATATTCCTTAGAGGCAAAGATGGAGAGACTTTGTCATACTTGGACATGTTGTCAGGAGAGACCTATCCTTAGAGAAAGACATCATGCTTGGCAAAGCAGAGGGACAGCAAAAAGGAAGAAGGTCCTCAACAAGTTGGATTGACAGTAACTACAACAGCCCTCAACATAGGAACAACAGGGAGGATGGCACAGGTCTGGGCAGTGTTTCCTTCACAGGGTCATTATGAGCTGGAACTGACTCAATGGTACCTAGCAACAAAAACATAGCTATAATTTATATCTATTATCATAGAGTGCTAATTTCATTAAATGTGTTGGCAAATGCCATTAAAATATTTTAAATTCTCTTTGATATCATTAGACTACCATTATATATACACTCAGTTCCCCTTAATTAATGCCCATCTCTAGACAACTGGACATACCTTGCAGAGGGGTAGTGGGGAGATGAGTCACTTAGGGTTCAGTATAGCAGTAATGAAACCCACAACCTTCCTCTAGTTCTTAAACGCTTCCTCCCCCCAACTACCAGGACCCCAATTCTGCCTTGCAGACCTGGGTAGACCAGATGATGCACAGTGGTACAAATGGGAATTGGAAATGCAGGGAATCTAGGACAGAAGAACCACTCAGGACCAGGGGTGACAGTGGTGATACCAGGAGGGAAGGGGGGTGTAGAAAGGGGGAATTGATCACAGGGAGCTACATATAACCTCCTCTCTGGGGGATGGGCAACAGAGGGGTAGGTGAAGGGAGACGCCGGGCAGTGTAATATAAGATATAATAATAATTTATAAATTATCAAGGATGCATGGGGGAAAGGGGAGGAGGAAGGGAAGGGGGGGGAAGGAAAATGAGCGGACTCCGGGGACCTAAGAGGCAAGCGAATTTTGGGAATGATGAGGGCAACAAATGTATAGATGTGCTTTACACAATTGAGCTATGTATTGTGATGAATTTTATGAGCCCCAATAAATTGATTTAAAAGATAAATAAATAAATAAATAACAAGTACTTGTTCAACACCTTTCATGTACATCGAATATTCATAAAGTAACATGATCAACAACTCCAAGCAGTTATTAACATACTACTAATATGCCCATATAAAAGAAAATATATAGTAAGCATGTAGTATTCCCATGGTGAAATCTAGAATCTATCTTCATTTTAAACTTCAAGATCTACAGATACAGATGTAAAGTACGCAAATTTTTTTGTTCTTGAATAAAAACCACATACCAATTCAGATCCAATTAAGTCATTACAATTTAAGGCAACTCCATATACTGCATAATAAATCTTTACTCCATACAGTTGTTTTTTTGTTTCATTATTGTTGTAGTTATGCATAACATAGGAGATTATTTTGAAAGCATTGTACAAAAATGTAGAAATATTTATTAAATGAAAATATCAACATGTAAAGCTATTGTTTCTCAACTTAGTTCTTCCATTTAGTTCTCAACATTTAGGTGGTTTTTCCATTTTTCCAATCCTTCCCAGAAGAATTCTGCAGTCTTCAATTAATACATTAAAAGGGTAGTTTGGGGCATACTTTAACGATTCAAATTGTCTTTCTTTTAAAAGTTTTTTGAAATTTGGGAACAAAAAGAAGTGTGAAGGGACAAGATCAAGACTTTAGGAAAATAGGGTAATGTTTGCCAATAAAATTCTCTTAT